TATTTTAGAGGTTGCTCAAAGCGCTCAAAGCTTTCCATGTATTTTTATATGGGGGAAAAACCCACTTTTCGTAGAAATGGTATAGAATTCTTGAAAATCAATATTTTTCGATCGACAAACTGTGGTTCTCTTCAGGAGGCTTTCAATAATAATAGCCAATTGGACACTTAACCATTTTTTAAGACTAACGATTTGTATTGGTCTTCGCATTGCATTTTTCGGGGCTTTCGTGGGTTTCTGGCAGCCCTATAAATTACAGTTGCGATGAAAACATGGCTAAATAAACAATTGGCTATGATTATTGGGAATCTACTACAGATAAGCAGAGTCTTCCGGTAGAAAAATATTGATTTTTAAGTATTATATAATATTTCTACGAAAAGTTGTTTCTTCCCCATATAAAATACATGGAAAATATTGGGAATCTTGAGCGACCTCTAAACTTTTTTTTGATTTCAAAATAAAACAATAGGGGTATATTTTTTCGGTATAGAACAGTCCTTGGGGGCATAAAAATTCCGAGTTTACTTTTTCACATGCATTTTTGGACCACCCTAATATACACATAGTACATTTCAATAGCAATCGAAAACTGGAAACTAAATTTTACAGGTGACCGCATACCAGACATACCAACCAAATCAAATAGGCCAAAGGCGCCTTTACGCTGGCGAATTATTGCCTGAAGGCTTTGAGGCATCAGGTGTTGGAGTGCATACGTTGATAGAAATGCATGGCAGAATATGTATGTTCATACATACATAAATATATATGTACATAAGTTTAAAATTTTATAGCATCTCTACTTTAGTGCTATGCAATTTTTGGTGTTGCTGCTATTTTTACTTCTCTATGGGGAAACCGTTTGTGCCATTACTTTTATGATCCTAGTGAAACCTTACTATGAAGCGGCATTTTTTTGTTGTATTGGAACTTTGAAGATAATAAAAACAAATAAATTATACTACCAATTGCTATGCTGTGAATGGTTTTATGAACTTTCGCTTCGGTTTAACACTTGTGTTAATTTCACTTTTTATGCTACGTTAGAAATGTTGATAAATGTTGGTGAATCAAAAGCTGCGGATGTGAGACGGAACTTAGATATTTTTTTTCGTAATATCCACTAATGACAATTATTTCATCAATACTGGGGGTGACCGTGGTAGTGATATTGTGAGAAGCGTTGAGTTCTTAGATATTGCCACCTTAGCATTTGTGCTTCCAGACAGGTAAAAGTTATCAGTAACTATCAAGACTTGCGGTTTGAAGGGCAATCTAGCTTCAAAGTGGAATGTTTCACACATTAGTTAATGTCAAAAATTCCTACCTTTATAAAATTACTCTTTAAGACGTTTGAGAATTGCATATGTCTGTCAAGTTTAAAAGTGATACATATACATGTTTCTTATTCACCAAATACTGCATACTTTTAGGCACATGAAATTTAGTGAGAAATCAGTCTCACCAGATAGCCTGTAAGTAAGATAGTCTGTAAATTTTTAAACTATTTCAGTACAGCAGGACGTAGTCAGCATTTAGTGAGAAAGATATTATGTACTTATTATAAATGTGCGTACGGCAATGACTTTTGGCGAAACCAAATAGACAATTGCAGCTAAGAGTCATACAATTTCGAACTGTCAACCAAATAGAAATTCCATAACTTTAGTAAGCTGACCAAAGAGCTTAGTTTTAATACTCCGGGATTTAGTGAGAAATAGTAAGAAATCATTCTCGTCTGACTAAATCCTGGATTACTGGAAGAGACTAATTGATAAAGCTGAACAGTGCCCAGTTCAACTGAAACTTCACATCGCTAAAAAAAATGTTATTCAAGAATCAGTTTTTGTGAAACTTATTTAGGTTTCAACCCAGTTTGAGCCATCTCTAGTGTACTTTTTCGTTCTCGATGTATTTATTATTTAAGAGCAAGTACCGTGACATACTGGTTAAATGCAGTAAGTAGGAATAGTTGGTTCTGAAATCTGCAATAGTAAGTGATATCCAATGCTTTTGAACTTTATTACTGTTTTAGCTAAACAATTGTCGTGACAAAGTAAAACGTAGCTTGGAATTTGTCCAATGACTTCATGGCAGATATTAGAATAATTTTTAATGCATTTTTATCACAGTTTAGTCTCATATTTATTTAATTGTCTATTATTTATATCAAAACTAGTACTTATTTGCATAACTCCATAAAAGTTAACTGCAAAATCGTGTAACCAAACATTCTAGGGCGCATGCGCACGAAACTAAGGCACATAATTCTTGACAAACAGCCGCACTGGATATTTTTGCAAATTTTATTTGCCATACCAAAGAAAAACAATGCAAAGCTAACAAACAAGCTTTGTACCAACACAGAATTTAACATTATGAACAGTCAAAGACACAGAAATAGTAGCTGATGGAAGTGGTAGAAGTGCAGCATGCCAGCAAGCAAAAACTGTGAATTGGCTACCACCACTACCGCCACCGCTGCGCTGCCGCTGCATCATGAAAAAGTATGTCAGACAATCACTTTGCCGTCGTCAACTTGAGCGCATGCGCTTCGCGTCTAAAATGCGCACCTTAGAGGTGCTATACAGGAATGTGGCTTTGAGGCACACACACAAACATTTGTTTCCTGCACACTGGAGCGTATTTGGCGTTGAATGGCGATTTTATGTTGGTGCAGGTTCCAACCGCTTGTCTCGTTGTCATTAACCGCAATTCTTGTACAACCATTGACATTACAAACATATACACATACATATAAACAGATAGTGCTAAAAATACGCCGTAAATGCGAGTGTAAAAGCGGCTGTGATAATAACAACACAGATACCAAAGTGCTACCTGTAAATTGCACACAGCAGTAAATATGAAGCTTGCGCTTTTTTTCGTTTCTTAAGCGCTGTGGTCGTACGCAGGTTCGCTGCTGCAGTCTTTTGTTTGCTGGGTCAAATTTCATGCGGTGACCGATATCGATTAAAGGAAATGGGGAGAAAATAAGTAAATAAGTAATAGGGGAAGTAAACAAAACACGTCTTTGATTTACAGTGCTTTATTTTTTTTTTTAAATTTTGCTCTAAGCTACTAAGCTAAGGAAATTTTATTTATAAGCCTGTGAAACTCTTCACTTTTAGGAGAGCACTGACCTCCCTGACTACCTCAGCTCTTTTAATTGACAATCTATGGTTTCTGGAGTAGGCCAATAGCGAAGCTCCGTTTATACCACTGCTGGGCGGTGGACAGCTTGTGTTTTTGACCCAGGCGTCGAGACTGATGAACTTGCGGTTTCCTGCTGCCTAGTGGCAATGTGCGCAGATCCTTGTTGGTCCCCTTTCGACCATTCGGTGTCGAAAGTAGTACCAGTCTATATAGTTCTTAGCTGCTATTATACTCCAGTTCCTTGCCGTGGCGCGATGGTCATTTTGGATCACAGTAGAGGGTTTGAGATATCATCAACTGGGGGGTCCCGAGATTGATATGAGCTGATGCCAGCGGCTTTGTTGCTAGAATGGCGCTAGCCTAGGTCTACTTCTGCCGAGGTTAAAGTCACAACTTTGGCCTGCAGTAGCTTTAAGTGGGCGAGTCTGCAAGCCATCGATGCAAGGTCGAATTTTATCGTTGCTTAGCGGGAGACTCTGGCAAAAGTAACTTTGGATTTCGTGCGTCCGGAGGAGTTCAGTTCCTTCAACAAGGCTGACGTCCAGACCAGACTCCTTCCCTTAATATTTTGAGATTTTTTTTATCCACGTCGCTGTTTGAGAGTTCAAGTAGTCAACGAGAAGTCCCACGACAGTCGGATCTACGTAACCGGCATGATCTAGATTTAAATCTGCCCAAGGACTGACACTCCAGCAACACTCCCGAAAAGTATGTGGGTGATTTGTATGCTGTTACAACAACAACAAAAAGTCTTCTAGCTCAGCTTTTCGTTGGTCGCAACAAATTCTCAATCGTGATGACGATTATCTCCTTCTGCAGCAGTATCACTTTCTCTGCTCATGGTCGATGAGCAGAACCATGTGAATCAGTTGATCACTCGTCAGCCTGTAGGATATCTTTCAGCAAACGGTTAAGATCAGATTCTCAGTTCACACTTGAGCTACACTTTTTGGGAGTTGGTTTTTATTCGTCGTTTTAGAGCTTGAGCAGACGACAACAAGTCATCCAGCTAGATACAAGCATTTTTCGAATGTCATTCCCCGAACTCAAAATCATGATATTTATCCTCGCCTGCTCGAATTAATTTCGACTCCCTTATGGCTGTCGAAATCTTTTTGTGAATTTTGATAGCCTCTTCCCTAGGCTTGTCCCGGTCTAGGACGCTTGCAATTTCTCCACTCTAATTTGATTCCATAAACATGTGTGCCGATTTCTGTTAACCCTGAAGCTTCAGAGAAAAGACGAAGGATGTCAAGAATCCGCGCGCTAGTAGTGTGTGGTTCCGAGTATTTAAGAACTAGTTCAAAGGGAACCGGATATACATATGGTCCGGTAGTTTCCACGATAGTCGGGTAAACATAAGCATAAGGATCACTCACCAAAAACAACAACAACCAACGGTTCCGGTTATTCAAAAGTGGTAACGGAAATAGCCCTATCGATATAGCCAAACAAAAATGCATAGTGGTCTATGACGTTTTTGGTTTAGTTAAAGCAATTTTTTTTAATGCACCCAATGGCTCCGTGAGACGAGGCTGAGCGCTGCCCACTAACTGCATTAACTGCCGGAAAGATTTCCATTAGGCGGGCTCAGTTTAGTAGTAATAATTTCTGGGCATCGTCAAGCTTAGCTGAAGTTTTCTCTAGTTTTATTTGTGATAACTATTAGTAATTTAAAAAATATTATAAAGTACTAAATTTTTCTCTTATAAGCTTTGTATGTATGTGTATTTAGTATTATGTACTTTTAAAATATACTTCCTTATATACATATATACGAGTAGATATTTCTAGAATTAAACTCGAAATTTTCTAAAGCTCAGTTCTTTTCTTTTGCAGCACCACTACGGCCTTAGTAAAAACTCCACTACACCGGCAAACACTTCGCTACATTTGATAAACAGCCGCTGAAGTCAAGCTCAACTTAGCCAATGCACAAACCATTGGTGAAAGCGCAAATAATCAACAATTTAATGAAGCAAATTCACCACGACTGCTTAAAGCCGCACAACACCAACCCAACACAAATTCAGCAACAGAAAACACACCAACAGCGGTAAAGCCAAAAGCACTCCACTACAACTACAACGATCACCACACCACTATGGCGACGACGACCAACGCAGGCACATCGATAACAACGACTACACCAACACCAACAACTAAGTCAGCTACAGTCGATGACGACTATGTGACTGTTGTTGAAGTAGACGATCCCGCATCCAAAGACACAAACCCCAGGCAGCTAGTCAAGCAGCAAAGGCAAAGCTCAGTCGAAGAAGACTCATCGTATATAACTGTACTAACAATCAACAATCAAGCGGAGTTGCATAGAAGCAGTAGTGGCGAAAATAAAAGTGACGGAAGTAGTGTTATGGTTGAAGGCGCCAGTAATAGCGGCGATGCAAATGGTTTGGCGGAAGCACATGCGGATACAGAACTATTGGTCGTGCATCGCCAGCCTGGCGAACGTCTAGGTTTCGGCCTAAAGTTCCAAGGTGGCACACGCAGCGCCGAAAAGGTGCACAAACTCTACATACAATCCTGTGCCGCCGACAGTCCAGCCTCCAAAGTGCGCGCTAGCTGGGGCGCGCTACGCGAGGGCGACGAAATTGTCAGCATCGATGCGCAACGCGTTTGTGAGCTGACGCGCATCGAATGCGTGCGCTGTTTGAAAGATAATGTGGCCATAAAGCTGCAGGTACGCAATGGCTATGGACGCAAGCCAGAGACGGAAGAGGAGATGCCATTAGCTGGTGGCACCACTGTGGTGGATGGTATCAATGGCGCGTCAGCGGGCACGCGTGTGCTGGCCAATGACTCCGACGGCCCCACAGCTGTGATTATGGGTGTCAACGGACAAAGGAAGGGCAGTCCACCGCCACCACCACCAGTGCCGCCGCGTAAGTTGGTGAAGCGTAAGTCACTGAATGGCGAAAGTAAATTGGCAGTGCCTGCGGCGCCAACAACGGCGGCTGGCAAAAGCGCTGGCGCTGCGCCAGGCCTTACTATAACAGCAGCGAGCACATCGTCGCAGAGCAGCAGCGCCAGCAGCAGCGAGGTGGATAAACCTTTCACACCGCCGCCGGATGCTGAGTATTACATAAATCTGTTCGCCGACGGCCAGTCACTGAAAACAGAGTCTGAATCGGATGACACTGCAAGCACAATTTCGACAGTGATTGATAAATTCTCCATGAGCTCCAACTATTCGTCCGAATCAGACTTGTCCAGCTACACATCGCTGACAAATGGCCAGAGTGTGGTGATTAATAAATCAGAGTTGGCTAAGGTACTCAAGCCATTCACAATGTTGGAGCAGGAATTCAATGTGAATGTAAATGGGAATGCAGCGGTGCAGCTGGAGGAGTGTCTCAAGAAAGTTGTCGAGTCAACGGGGGATGTCATGCCTGATTTGCTGGCGGGCACGATGACAGCATCACAGGTAAAGAAACCGATGACATTCATACCAGGAAACAACTACGAGAATGTCGAATTTAAGACAGAGAAGGTGAACACTTACGAGAATGTGGAGCTAAAGCCACAGTCACAGGGTGCGCCAATTGTAATTTTGCCAACACCGAAACCACGCCAAGCTGTAGCCGGCGCAGGCGGCTCACCAGGAGTTGAGCCTAAGAAACGTTCAATCATACCAACGCCGCGAAAGATTGCCTCGCCCACTAAGCTACCCATACAAGTTGCGCCACCGACGGTGCCTAGCGAGGCATTGCAGGCAAAGTCACTAACTAAGGCTGCGTCAAAAGTGCCAACCACACCCACTACGCCCACTACGCCCACAACACCCACTACTCCGACAAATAGTCCAATAACGCCAGCAAATACCCCGACCACGCCGTCATACGAGTCCACGCAAACCGCTAAAGAATTCATCACAAAGATACCAAAAGCTATCGCCTCGGTATTTGGCCCCAATTCGCAACGCTCATTCGAACGTGCCAAGACTGAGGGTGAAATCAAGCTAAAGCAGTCGCCTGAGTTATCGTCCAGCATCAAACAACAGACCGCCATGTTCTTGGATAAAGAATGCCACAGTTCCACGGATAGTGTTGTGAGCGCTACGCGTAAGCCCGTAGCTGAGAAATCGAAGTCTGTAGAAACAAGCAAGCTTTCGCCGCCTAAGTCACGCATTCCCGTGGTACTTTCACCAAAACGCTCATTCGAAATGGACACGTCCATGGAGCGAAAGCTTAATAATAGTCCGTCTAATATACCACGTTTCCTAACGCACAAGCAAAAGTCCGAAACGGACCTCAAACTTGGACTCTATCGCAGCAAGTCGAAGGAGTCCAGTCCGCCGTTGAGTCTCAAAATGCCGCTGCAGCGCACAAATTCAGCAGAGTCGAAACTAAAGAGTCCTGAGCGCACACTCATACCCGTTTTCAGTGGTCAGTCTGCATCCGCGGAAGCCATACTTGCCTCAACCGCAGCGAGCACGCCCACAAAGGCGAAAGGTCCTAAACCTAAACCACCAGAGCGTGTGCAGTCGCTAGGCAAGTCACCCACGCATATTCCTAAACTGCAAACGTCAACCGTAAGTGGTGGTGGTGGTACAGTTACGGTGACAGTGGCGGACCGAAATACTGCTGCTACACATACGACGCCACCGTCATCGCGCAGCGATACACCCACAATGCAAACATTCAAGCAGCAATCGCCACCTGCCAGCGCGTCACCCAATCGTGAGATACGTTTCAAGATACAAACCTACGAAAGTAAAACGCAAGAGCCACGCACACCATTCACGGATGTCAACGACAATGAGGACGATAAAATGCCTAGTCTCTTCGACTTGGTACGCAAGCATAGCCCGAATGCGCAGCGGAAAGATGAATCGCCGCCAGTTCTGTCCTCATTTAAATCATCTACTGTCAACCAAGAGCAGCAGCACATTGAAAGTAATGTCGATGACGAAGACGTACCACCTGCTGTGGTGGGTAAATGCATTAAAGTGAGTGACTCACAACCCACTTATTACTCAAGTTCGAGTGAAGATGACGAAGAGGATCTCAACGCCATGCATCATGACGCTGAACGTGATTATGACTGCGAGGATGGTGAAAAGTTGGGACCACCAGAGCTGATAAATGGCCCAGGACCCTCGGAAGCATATTTCAATCTCTATTGGCATTCGAATATGCTGCCCACCATTGGCGAGGTGGAGGAGGAATTCTCCTCGCTAGAGCCGCAATCTTTGCCAAATGGGTAAGTTTTTAATAAGCATTTAAATAAAATATACTTATTTATGTTTGTAGATTACTCACAATCAGAACTAGATGAAATTCGGAATTTATTGATATTGTGCTATCCTGTTATAAACTTTACTTTGACTTTACTAGGAGCTATTGTCAATATTCTGGGGTTCCCATCTAGTTAGCTCTAAAGGACGGCAGCTCTACGTTGCTATTAGAAAAGTTGATTTATGTTCCTATTCCGCACCCACATATTGCCCACAGGCTTAAATAGAACTCCCGACCTAATTAATTTTTGTTAGTCCAAAGGCAATTAAGTGCAGCTCTTGCTATGACTTATCTGCAAACGACTCACCCCTTCTAGCAGAACTCAATACCAATTTTGTTCCTTCCCCCACTCATGTACTCTTCATAATTGGAAGACATATTGGAATTCCTTTCGGGCATCGTTTTTCGACTCTTGACATGAAATTGGTCCTGAAATTTCATGAAGATATGTGTGCAGATATTGAAAACTTCAACAGTTGTTTCTAAAAAGCTGCTTGGTGGTAAACTTCTGCTCTTCGTAACTGAACAAGCTCAAAAATATCATTTGATGTAAAATCCATTTTAAGAGAAAAACGGCTTGCAAGAAAAAGGAGACAGCACACTTAATATCCTGAAGACAAATACGATTGAACAAGTAAAACCCAAATTCAACGTTACCTGAGAAGTATTGACGTAATTTCAGCTACAGACTACTCTCTCTGGAGTGCAACAAGAAAGTTGAAAAGGCTCACTTTGTGTGCGTCGGTGATTGGAAAGGAAAATAACGAATGGGCAAAAACTGATTCAGAAAAAGCAGATACATTTGGATTCTATTTAAAAACGGCATTTAGACTTCAGGCTTATCTAACAAATCCCTACTTCTTTGTAAAACAGTGTATGGAATATTCCGTACTCTATGAGAGCTCTGCAGTTATGGCTCAAGGCAGTATTATATACTCTACACACATGATTTTCCTTCTACAGAGGAAGTTACCATTGGAACTTTCGCAAATGATTTAGCAATTTTAGTAGTCGATATTCTACCAAATTTGGCTTCACTGAAACTTAAAGAAAGTTTAGAAAAAATCGCCCGCTCTCTGAAGGAGTGGCGAATAAAATTTAATAAATAGTTAACTATGTGTATCAAATACATATAAATGAAAATAAAAATTGGATGCCTTTTTTTCAAAAATGTTCCATGAATCCGCCAGCTATTCCGCTAACTATTCTTTATTGGATCACTTGCAATAAAATCAAATTTTCTTTTACCAACCATACTATGCTTGCGTCGCATACATTTAGGCGCTTCCAACCGATCGCAGCTAAGTGATGAGCGCTCACACCAATCATGCCGCTAACAAAATTTCGCGTGCACTCAGCAATACGCCGGGTACCATATCAAACTCATTAGTGACAGCGTAATCACTAAATAAAGTGCAAGATAACGAGTATATGTGGAAAGATAAGTTAGCAACAAAAAAATCAACGCCAGAATAGAATACACAAAGTAAAGTGAGTGTAATGAATATTAGGAAAGTCAAACAAACAAAAAACCAAAACAAAATATAAATTATGCATACTATTATTTAGTATAGTAGGTATGAGAATGGTTGTATGTGTGCCGGTGTGCAGAAAAAAAGCCATAAAAAATGCCGGCGGCACAATGCAAATGTGCGAGTGAAACTGGCCGAAATCGGGAGTAGGGGCCAAAATAATACCAAGCAATTTAGTGAGTAGTTAGTATAAGGGGCAGTGCACGCAGGGTTGAGAGGACGAGTATATCAGTCAAAGTACGAGCACGAGTTGATGGTAGAAATAGAACCAGAAAAATAATAATGATAAGCGCTTGTAGCGCAAAGTAGCGCAGAAGAGGTGAAGTGCCAAGTGGTAGGTTGTATGTAGATAAGTAGATAGTTCGCATGGCATGCGGGGTAGGCGCGGCGACAGGCGAACTCAGCGCGTTGCGGTACTACACATGTATCTACCTTCAAGCTTTGCATTGTGGGCAAAAGTAATTAGTACAAGTTTTAATTTGGCACAGTTAAGGTGAGCAACGGCGTGAAAGATACTGAAGTACATAATTTTAGTTAGTGAGTAGCTACGGGCGAGATATCTAGGCGCACGGAAAATAGGCAAAGAGAAGATCCCGTGAACGCAAAGCTATTGCCTGTGAATATTCAAATCTACGAAGACAAGCGAGCAATTTCCGATTATTGTAGCGGTTGTTGGAGCGTTAAAAAGAAAATAAAGATCTAAAAAAAAATTAGGTAAAGAATATGTCAATTAGTTGAACGAGAGTGAATAAGCGATTTTTAATTTTTTTAATTTCGATATTTTTATCAACAAAAGCACTGTGCGCTTGTCAGTGGCTTCAGCTGTTGTTTTTGTTTTACAGTTTTGAACCAAATAAGCATTCAAAATTTATTAAAAATTTCTTAACAATTTGACAAAATGTTGTACCAATTATCTATTCTTTCCAGTCCAATCGTTATTGTGGATGATTTGAGTCAACAGCAACAACCAAAACAGTTAGGAAATAACGCTGAAGTAGAAAAGATAGCAGAACCGAAAACGAAGGAAATTGTAGCTGAGGTGAAGAAAGACTCAAACGCAACAAAAGGGATAGAAAAGGTGGCAGACACGGGACCTCTGAAAGATACTAAGGAGGTGATAGACAAAGTAGTGTCCGAGCGTGCAGAAAAGTCTTTAGAGAGGAAGCGCGAAGAGGTCATAAAGTCCGAGCCTGCTGAGAAGACCGTGAAAGCAACAAAATTAGCTGGGACCAACGCCACCGAGTCCACTAGCACGAGCGCACAAAAAGATCAGAAAACGCCTGCAAAAACTGGAACTTTCAGCGCCTCTAGCTCTCAACAGTCAGCGACCGGTAAAGCGAGAAAATCGCAATTTATTGGCGTGCCCGTATTGCCGCCGACAGTGCCCAAAATGGAGAGTGGCCAGGTAAAAGCTGAGGAAACTACCAGCAGCGGTGACAAGGTGACAGCGCAGAAAGCGGCGCATGCGATAAAGGAAATGAATAGTGAATTTGTGGCCTTGAAAGAGAATGCAAGCGAGCTGGATAAAGTTACAACAACAGCAAAGCAGGTGAAACCAAGTGATAAGATAACTGACACTGCCAACAAAGTGACAATGGAGGTTAATTTCCAGTCCACTGATAGTAGAGTAGCGCAGAGGGAGTTGGAGCAGAATGTAGTTGATATGCCTAATGCCAAGGCTAATTGGGCAGCAGACAATGGGGACACAAATAACGCAACGATAATGGTTAATCAAGTGTCAAACAATACGACTGTAATGGCGGCGGTACCTATTGAAACTAAGCAAACAGGTCAACAACAGGCAAATGAGGAACATATTAACTCATCCAATAACACAAACGAAGCAGAGTCAATAAGACTGGCGCATAAAGTTGAAGGGGTTGATACATATACCCATAGTGAGTCCAAAAGCGAGACTGCAGCAGAGACCACGAAATCGAGCAGCAATAGCGCTGGTAGTTCGAGTATGTCCAGCAAGACCAGCGAGACACATACGGAGCAGACGGTGCAGAAAAATGTGGAGGCAAAGACTGAGCACACGTCCGAGCTGAAATCGGAACGTCAGACTACACAAAAAGTTACCACAACTACCACTAAAAAGCAGGTAATCAAGTCCTCCACATCTTCTACGCAACTGATCGAGAATAGCAGCTATGACGCTTTGGACGGTTTACCGGAGGAGTTGCGCAAAACGCTTGAAGCTGGCGGTAAGGCTCAGACTAATAAAACGACCAGCGCCACACCGAGCGCCGCACCCTTTACCTCCAACTTGTTGGAGCATTTCAATAAACCGGTTGCCTTTACGCTGCAACCCTATGCGGAACGCGTCAGTAGCGCCGGTTCGCCACGCATAACCGTATTTGAAGAGCGTCAATTCGAAACCAAACAAAATGCTTACACCGAGATACGCACACGCGATGCGACGGGCGAAGAGAAGCTACAGACGAGCACGGAGAGCCATAAGGAACGCGCCAAGCTGAAAAAGGTGCACAGCCAAGGCGATGATTTGGACCAGCTTGGTGTTGAAGGTCTTGCTGAGGAAATGACAGCTGCTGACAATTTAGAGCCGATGACGGTCACCGCGAGCGCGGAGACGCGTATATCGGAATTTGTCGAGAATCCACAAGATAAGCAAAGTATTGAAAGGGGTATTTTGAATTTATCGGAGAGTGGTAAGCAATTGCAACGCAACGAATCTGGCGGTGTGGAGTATATGGAGTGTGAGCACCAAGTGCAGGATTCGTTTGAAGATATGGAACAGGTTTTGGGCGGCGGCATTGTAGAAGGAGATAAGGAGCCCACACTACTGCGTGAATTGAGCGAAACACTGACTGTGACTAAGGATGGTGACAAACAGGTGACGCGTCGCAGCGAAACTACGAAGGAGACACCGAAGAAGGGCGCTAAGCTGCTGAAGAAGTCCGAAGATGAGCGGCGTTTGGAGCTGGAGGCGCAGAAGCTGATCGAAAGCTACCAGAAGGTAAAGAAAGAGGCTGAAAAGTTATTCCAGCACGAATTTTGCGACGAGGAGGGTTTCGACTTTGGCGACGACAAGCAGAACAAAGCCGAAGCGGCCGCTGCAGTCACGGTGGAGGAAGTAAACGAACGGGGAGTGAATGGAACAGAGAGTGGAGTAGAGAGTGAAAATTTACCCGGTGTGCTTGTGGAAGAAAAGTTGGTGGTAGAGAGCGAGCTTGATGAGAAAATTAAGGAAGGTGGTAAAGCGCATGATCAACTCGCTGCGCCTGCTGAGAGTACAGTTGTAGAGCTTGAGACGCATAAGCAAATAGACGTGAAAGAGAGCAAGCTGACTGCTGATCGAAGTAAGCTAGATGCGTCACAGCTAACAGCCGGATTTCTGGAAGGAGAACGTCGGTCCGTGGAAAAGGAAAATGCGCTCAAGGAGCAACTAGTAACCTCTGCACAAAGCCAGCAGCAACAAGCATCCTTACACGTAAGCGCGCCTCCAGACTTGCTTGATAATGAACCGTTTTACGTGCTGCATAAAAATATTATTGAAGAACCCAAATCTGAGGCGTTGCATACGGAATTTGACGGCAAACCCATTCCGCCCGTCGTTAGTAAAGTTATAGCAATTGAAGAGGCGATAAAACCGATTGTCGTGGAAGTCAAGTCACCGCAACACATACAACAATTCGAAACCGTGGAAATAAAAATTGAGAAAAAATTGCCTGCATCTATCAACGAAGTGACGGCCAACGAAAAAGTCACAATCCAGGCTACAAAGCCAACGTCACCACCCATCCCACAAAAACGTGAGCACAAATCTTCAGAGGGCACGATTGCCACCACTGTCTCAACCACACCCACTTCAACATTAGCACCAACACCGAAAAAACGCGGCTCCATAGACCTGCACACAGCTAACTTTGGTGGCGACCACACACCGTGTGCGAACTCCCAACTGCAAACGTCTAAATTAGAAATCCCAATTAACACACCGAATTTACAACAAAACTGCGAGCGAATGCAACAGCCAACTAAATCAGCACAATCAGCATCCGTCCCCGCAGCCCGCAGCGAGTCGCAACAACATAAGCTAGAGCGTATTATTGTTGGCGTAGAACAACAGCAATACGACGACACAAACAACGTCAAGCAGCCGACAATTATTACCTTTGCCAGCGAAAATCTGCCAACGGAAATGGCGGTCAGCTCACCAACCAAACAAGTTGTCTCGAATGTGGTAAGCGGCAGTGGTAGTAGCAGTGGTACAATTGCAGCCGAGTTGCATTTGGAGACCATTAATTTGCCAAATGAGCCACAAAATACATCCCCATCCACAACAACGGAGAAATTGAGGAAATCAGAGCGCGTTGGCGATGGCATGCAAATGCCAAAGACAACAACATTAGCAGCAGGAACAGCAACAACAACTGCGTCTATGACATTTATGTCAACATCATCTTCTGCGGATTCGGTGCAAAGTGTCATTGAAGTAGGTGGCATTGTGGAATCACCATCGGAGGATGAAGTGAGCCGCGGCGTGTCGAGGAATGCGAGTGAAGAAGGTGAGTGAGTATGCGTAATTGTTTTATTTAAATTTTTTTATTTTTAGAGCTTTTCAATACATGTTTTCGGTAATGATAACATTACCCAGCATGATATTGTTGGTAGTACCGATTCGTTGCGCGGTAGAAGTAATAATGAATTCAGGAATGTGGTCTGCAAGTGGGCGATAGCTTACCCTTTTGAACTGAATTGCTATCGAATATATATCGGCTTATGAAAATTCAAAATATCGGCCAAAGAAATAACGAATCCTCTTCAATCGCGAAGTTTTCTTCGAAAAAGCACCACCTTAGATTTTGGTTGTTTCACCGAATGAAATGGTGTTCTGAGGGGAAAGTTTCAAAGCTGTTTCTCAGCTACTTAAGTTCACGAACTTTCTACGGAGTTCGGGGTACTTGTCGCTACAGAAATTTTTATACGAGGTCCCGTGCCATCTAAGAGTTCCAGTAAGAGCTTGTGGAGTTTCTTTAACTAGCTGCAAGCTGAACAATACCCAGCCCGAGTTCTTTCTAGCCAAATAATCAGCCGTCTCATTACCAAGTAACCAGAAGTAAATTGAAGATTATCCCTAAGACCTTCGATAAAGACAACTGATGTCGATCCTAACTACCTAACAGAGGTAGTAAAAAGAGGTATCCGGTGCAACTGTATGGATCTATTGTGCATTCTTCTCTGCGCAGCATTCGTTTAATTCTAAATTTCCTAGAAAGTTTACAAGGGCTTCTGATGGTGGGGAGTACATCGTCGATGCCTTTCAAAAGCCAGCTAATTCGCTATAGTAGCAAAAATGAGATTTGATGATCCTGAGTTTTATGCATAAAAATAGTAAAACCGCTATGCTAACCATACATTTATAATATAGCCTACTAAGTTGACAGTCTTAAAGAAAATAAGCTATTTCGCTCTCCTGTAAAATTTTAAAACTGGTGGATGGGCGGTTTTTCAAAGCCATCGACGATATCTACCTACCCACATTTTGGCCACAGCGAGCCTATACTCATATCTTCTTGAAATTGCATGAAAGTGGCAGAGACTATTCCCTAGATGTCTTCAATCTGCAGTGTCCTCTGCGGATGCCTGATAGCCATTTCCTGATAGAGTTTGGACTTAGATACTACCAGGATTGACCCCTGGCAGGGACGTTATTGACACATAGGGCTCCACAGGCAAGATGGCGGTATAGCGCCTGTGGTCATCCTTTACTTTGTTTGTAACTGTGTCGCGCTGTTCAAATTTTCAATTTCAGCAATTCCAGCTTGAAAAGCTTTGCTATTCATCTGCTAGTAGCTGGCTGAACTTAGCGTTCCTGTAATACCCGAAACGCGCATGTATGTGACAGATTGTCAACGCCTCTTTTCCTTTAAACTTAACACCGGGCTCCGCAAGATAGAAAATAGTTTTTACGTTGCAGGGATATTTTTGACTGTCATTTGGGGTCATTTGGGTAAACTCTTAGTTTCTTAATTAAAGACGTCACCGGTAGAAATCGACTACCTCGATACTTTTGAAACAATTTTCTATCTGGTGGGGACTTCAGTTCTGAATTTAGCATTGAATAAGCCCGGGGGCTCAATACCACCCTGAGATACTGAGAAGACTCGCAACATCTAGACCTATGTATGTCTCCCGTAATGTGTCTCTCACTCCACGCTGTAGCATAGCAGTACTAATTTCAAGTAAACTTATAGGCCTCCCTTCGGATGAAGGCTGTGAGTTAACTCAAGCGTCAACACCAGCTCCAAGTGTTGTAGAGAAAAGTACCGTCTCTGCATGGCAATTGCTCTCGGGAGTTTGGCAAACAGATTGGGATTTTGATGATCTTAGAACTAGCGAAGAATCAATCATATAACAAAATGCTCTTAATAACTCCTAAAAATTAAAACACGCTGAGTAAAACTAAGAAAATTGTTTGTAGGGCAGGTACATTTTAAAACCAACTTGAGAAAACTTCTACTGTTTTCCATTACAATCATTTACGAGATACTTTTCGGATAATTTAATGTATAAGAAACTTCTTCAAAAAGGGTTCACTAAATACAAATACACTCCGCTTCACTTGAATAGAAGCATTTAAAAAACCTGGAATTCTACAACTAATGAAAAGCTACTCAGGGTAGTTTTAATTTAACTCTTTTAAACAAAAATTCTTCGTTGTAATTTTGCAGAGCTTTGTTTTCCTTTTCAGGAACTGTAGAACTATTCACAAGCTATTCAAAAGCTACCCAACTTTTCGACTTAAATAAAAAATTTGGCATAATTTTGCCGAACTTTTTTTGTCCCTTTTTAGAACTCTAGAACTATTGAAAAGCTACTCAGAACAGTTTTAAATTTTTTTTCAAACATTTAACTTTTTGGACTTTTTTGAACTTTTTTTAACGTAATTTGCCACTTTTTTTTGCTCCTTTTCAGGAGGTCTAGAACCATTGAAAGTCTACTTAGAACAGCTTTTATTTGCCTTTTTGCGACATGTTGTATGCTGAGTGAATCTGTCGCACAAAATTTTTGAAAATTTGTTTTTTTTACCAAAATATCCAGAACTTTGCTTTTTTTTACTGGAACGCCCGAACTATTGAACAGCCATTCAGAACAGCTCTTGTTGTCTTATAACGTTATTCCGCATGCCAACTGCACAGAAATTAAGTTAATGGAGAAAAATAACCAAAAAAGGATCTTAAATTAAAAAAAAAACCTTAACATCAAGAATTGCGATAAATGCTAAAAAATACCTAATCAATTTCAATTTTTTTTTTGGATCTGGGATCTTTGAATGCAAGTTTCAGATAAATAGAAAACGCCTAGAAAGCCCTGCTGGTGAGGTCTCAAGTACAAAGCATTCCTCTGGATGTTAGGATTGATGCTTTACCAAAGACCTGTTAATGTTTTGGAGATCTTTTTATTTAATTTGAACTGCCATAGAAATTTACTCATGCCATAAGTAAACCTAAATGTTCTGCCATTAGTTATGAAGTAGGTTTACAGATTGGCAGAAACCATATTTTAAGAGCTTTAATGCAATGCTTCTCTACTTGTTTGCCAAATTAAATTTTGGGCAAATCGAGTCGGCCACATTTAATTAAAACTGTAACTAAAAGCAAAACCATACACACACACTAGGTAAGGCGGCTGAATGCTCCACACTGCTGGCAGATAGCTTAAAAAGATAAATGCGCTTACAACGTATTCTTCTACATACATATGTATGCATACATGTCCGCATATACATACATAGCGACAGGCTATTCATTGATGCAAAATGCAAAAATGCATCATTGCATGCCAATGCAAAAGCTGTATTGTGGCTAAACGAATACATATCTACTACTGGTACGGGTATTTAACCACTTTTGAGTGCTGAGTATACCTCCTTATTTGCATTTGTGGCCAACCAGCTGAGCTCGTTTGCAAATTTTAATTTGTGTACTGTTAGTGTTTTAATTAAAAAAGAACAGTAGGCAACAGCAGTCAGCAGTCAGCAGCCAGCAGCGAGCAACCAATGCATTTGCAATGTTGTAAAGCGGAGCAGAATCCATTTGCCATTCTGACTGCCAACTGCTGATGGCGGCTGGCCGCGCGCTGGTAGTAGCCAATAAATACATTTCAGCCAATTGATGTACGCCAATATTTAGCTACGTATTGTTGCAGAGAACATGCAACTGCACTTTACCACATGGAAATGAATTTCGAATAAAAAAAAAATTCTGGAGCAAAATCAAATAAAAAAGTAGCATTTAAATTAAAAACCAGAAAAATTGTAAAGTAATATATGCGCCAGCAAAAATCAATCGGCATAAAAGTAGTTGAAACAATGCGAAAATTGCACGCAATGACTGTGACTGTGACTGAGACTGTGTCGGCCGCAGATTCTTCCTATTCTCTACTCGTACCTCAGAGCCACTTACCACATGCAAATAATCGTGTGGCACATGCCAACTGTGGCAATGCTGATGCCACATGCCGATGCTCTTGTGTGTGTATGTAGATCTTAGCGTATCATCGCAGCGTCTGACTGACCTGAAAATTTATGGCTTTTAGGGCATTTATAACTCTCGGCTATGATGCGAGGTTATTGATTATTTTTTTTCCTTCTTGGCTGTTTCTGTTTTGGCCACTACTATGACTACAATGTTGCATGTCATACGGAGATCTCAATTTTATTATAGAATGGAGTGATTACTGAGTTTTGCAGGTTTTTATTTTATGCTATTATTTGCTACACGTTTATGCTCTTATGCGGTGAGCGTTTAGCCATGGCATTGGTAAAGGATTTTTTTTTTGGTTTGGGTTTTCGATATGGAAAATTTTCTTTGTAGATTTTTTTGTGATTTATTTTTAAAACGAATGTATTGCATGTGGGCATGCAAATTTTTTTGCCAGCAAATGATAAAGCTAGAATTTTAAGACTGATTTCTCTTGACTGACCCTTTCTAAAAAATTTTAGGCGATTAGAAAGTAAATGCTCCACGTGCTTCGCAAAGTCTCAAAAGCTATTTTGCGATGATCAATGCAAAAATAGTGTTGACAAGTAAAAAGGGTTTCTAAAGTAAAAAAAGTCTTAGTTTAGGTTGAAATGACTGCAGAGCAGGACCCGCAATCTTCTTCTATGTATGATGTTACTTCTATGACAATAGTCTGGTGTATTGACCCCTAATTTTTCGCCATGTAAGCTAACTAGGCAGTGCTCCATATAAGTCCTTGTAATGGGACGACCCAAGTGCTGTGGGCTAGCGATTTGAGAACTTTGTTGCGGGTCTGTACTTTATTTGCAGTTATGTGCGCCGAGAAGGAGATCAAGTGGTGATCGCCTAGCCGTAAATTGGTCTGGTTATTAACCCTCAGTATAACTCGGCGTGGATTCTTAAATGCAATTTGTTTTTCTTCTAGCTGCTGAAAAGGCTCGCGACGGCTGACGACTGTCGAACATTAAGGTGATTCACAGTCCACTGCTTTAGTCCCTATGAGATGTTCTGGTGAAATGAGCACTGAGCTTTGGAAGGTTGTA